ATGCTGCAGTATCGCTGAAAGCTAAGTGAATTACAAAATACTTGATATAAATTGATTTTTTTTTTCCCCTAAAAAATTTACATCATTACCGCAAAGATACACTTTAGGAAAAGTAAAAATTGAGCACACACTAAATGCACTAGGCTCCTCTAGAGAGGATTGAAAGAAGCCACATTCTACAGAGAAAAATGGAATTCAGTAAGACACAAACCATTCCTTGCCATGGCGGTGGTGGTCCCATGTTGTGGAATTCCCTCACGTAATCATTGTAGGACTAAAATGAAAGACAGTATTATTAACATTTGTGATAAGTGTTCTTTGGTAGTGCAGAAAGCTGAATATAAGTTCCCCAAAATTCTGCATGCACCAACTTACCCCATTTAAAAATACATCTCGTCGAACTCCTGAAAATCGTCTGTTGGGAATAAAAATTTGTAGAACTAAATCCAATTTATCCATACAGACAAGTTACCAGGGCATAACATGAAAAACATGAACACACCTTACCTGTCTACTTCAGGATATCTGGGATCCTTTATATACCCTGTTCAAACATCAAGCAGTATTAATTCAATTCACCATCTCAAGTTAACAGTCTTAAAAAACTATACTCATCAGAAACTGTCCTTTCATTTTGTGCCAGTTATGAAATTGTGTCTACCTGCCATTATCCTCGCTTTCAAAATAAAACTCCAAAACTTTTAACTTCTTGCAGACAATACAGAAAAATTGTATAACGTAGCAACAAATAAAAAAAAAATACAGATATACCCAGAGAAACTTGCACATGGTACAAACAAATATGCAAGGGGGAATCTGTGCAAATAAAGACTTGATTATGTCAAACAAATCGGGAACGCCCACAGATTTGAAGGGTACTGTTCCTTGGCAGTCATCACCAAAGTGTTACTACTTATAAACAGTGTATTCAGTAAAATATGTTCATCTGGGCAACTCTTAAGGTTGTAATTGAAACCTATTAGGAAATCAGTTACACAGAAAATGAAAAACCACCTAAAAAACATCTGGAAAAGCCCTGCAGGGCAAAGAATTCTTAGAGCTTCAGTAAATCCCAGGAAGTAAGTATTAAAGAGCTCAGTAAAATGGTGCAAAACACCAGGCATGCTAATGTTAATAAAATAACACTCCTAAGCTTCATTATTTTATGAAATTTTCTTCTGTGCTTTAAACAACGATTTTGGAAAGCCAAGCAGCAGCAACAACACTCTTTTTGCATCAAAGAACACAGGCTTTGCAGTCAAGCAGGACACAAAGGCAAGTTCTTAAGAGTTAGAAATCTATTACTGAAACAATGGAACACGTATTTCTAATAGTAGTGAAGTAGACTTAAAAATCACAATTTCTTAATAATTGCTTTTTGAAGGAAAAAAAAATAAATCTGCAATATTACCAGAGCTGTTGTTGCTGCATTACTGCTGCAAACATTTCTTTCTGAATAACAACAAAAGTCCTGTCTCAAATTCATCATTAGGCCTTCTCATAAAATGCAGTAAGGCTTTTCCGTCCATTCCTTCTGTCAAGCTTGTAAAAAATTTTTCTCTGAAAACATAACCAAATGCCTGCCAACATCTCTAAATACAGGCTGCCAGTCAGGCCATTTCAGCTGACATTCCCAGTTGGAAATTTTTGATAAATACTTTAATTTGATAATTAGTGCACTGACAGGTAGGTCAAACCAATTCTTGTGCCTGTATTAACAAAGTGCTTGAAAGGATCATCAACAACAATGTACACAATTCTGAGGCTCTTAAAAAGGCTCAGCCTAGATTTAACTCTGCTCTCTCGCTCAAACCCGTGAAACGGTATCACTGACTTGTGTGAGAGGTGGGTTAAACCAGCAGGCAGCACTTGGGACACAGCCCCTTTTTATATCCCAGTCATATCAGTATTTTACTTTTGAATTAAAGGAGGATACACTGAAAGAGAAAACACTTGTGAATTGGTGCACACAAATCTTCACAGTAAGATATTAACCTGGTCTTTGGTGAAACTCAGGGGGATAGTCAATCCTTGTTTTCTTTCTGCTGTTATGAATATCATAATCTTCTGGTCGACGCCTACACAAATTAGATATCAAAGATTAAACAAGGTTGCTTGGAGCATTCGTCACAGCAGAATACCTCACAGGAATAGCTTGAGCTGCCCAGGATTTCAGTTTAATCATTCTGAACTCCATTTGTTTCAAAAGGTTCTAAAGCTTTAAATTTGAACTCGAATTCATCAGAAACAATCTGATTAGATACCCTCCACTGTTACTTCCTGGCTACAGGAGCTTTGGTAGTTAAGGAAGGAGCTCTACCCAACTGTACCTTCGTACCACGGAAGGGGTAACAAATTTGTCTAAAACAGACTTAGGCTTTAACATTACACTTTCCATATTACATTTTGAAACAACCTACCGGATAACAAAAGAATTTACACAGCTAAATACAGCGAAAATAGACATTAAAATAGATCATTACAGTCAGAAGACATGGACATTGCTGTATTTGATAGCTATGGGGTAAAGAATTCTATAAAAGGTCTATTTCCATAACATTTATAAATAAAACTGTGCATGCTTTGTGAAATTGCTTCTTTTACTGTAGCTTTTCTAGCTGGGTAGATATTATTCCTAACAATTTCCGTTCTAAGCAATTTACCAGCAGTGCATTGGTGACTTACAAAATGTTTAAGAATGCCTAAGCATTCTAGTAACTCAAATAATCGGAGCTCCCTCCTATACATACAGTTCTTTCATGGAAAAGATGTTATCTTTAAGAACTTCACTCTCAGGGAGGAAGTTGCATTATAAAACAGTTACATTCCAGATGTGGTTATTTTTAATAAAGAACTGAAAACTGTCTTACTAATTTTGCTCCATCAAGGTACATAAACATTAATGGGAGATTCCAAAGCTAACATAACAAGGGTTTCTAAACACAAAGCAGCTACCAAACCATTCCCTTGGCCCCACCCCAGCAATATAATTCCTTAAGACAAGACATTTAACATGTTTTTAAACTGCTTAATTACTGTGCAACTTGCTCACTGAGTAGCAAGCTCATGTAGCTTTTAGTTTTATAGAGCCATTTCTCCTCCCCCTTCCCGACTTTAATCTTTAAAACCCACCATACCCAGTTACTAAAATGAAAGCACATTCTTTACTATGACCAGAAAGCCCCCAAACCAAAGCAGTTGCATCTACAGTAATATCAGATCAAGGAAAATAAAAGCTGGTGTAAAGAATAAACATACCGCTTTCTTGTAGTTTTGAGAGTGCATTTACGACCGGTATAAAATATGATAGAAACAGTTCATATAGTAGTCCAACTACTGACTTTAAGCTGTAAGCCACACACATAAATGGAGGCCCTGGCAGGCTTGAGAAGGTGTGGTGGTGTTTTATGTATAGTTTGCAGTCCATTGCAAAACCTTCACTTGTATATACTTTATTGCACTGGAAACCTCTTAGCTTAACTTCAAAAGCCATCTTGGTGTTCAGTCCTTTAAAGCCAAAAATAGGGGGGCGCTGCCAGGTTTCCTCCTACCTACTTGTTACAGTGTCCTTTTTTTTTAAGCTCAAGGAAATGGGGACTCTTGTTGGGTATCTGTACCTACCACAGGACGTTTCCACAAAGAGGAAACTTAACCAAAGGTTTCAGCCCAAACCATACATCAGTCTGTATGCAAAGTGGCTACACGGGGAAAAGGTGTTTGGCAGAAGGGCTAAGATCAGTTCTTTGCAAAGACTTCTCTCCAATTCTGTAACAAGTTATACCCCCTTTCTCCTGGAAAATGATGTTAAGTTCATATAGCAGTGATCAATAACCGGGTCGATCCTCTAAAAATACTTTTAAGTCCACAGGTACTGCCAGCATCTGGAAAGGTTGTATATACAGACACAGCAACAGCCATGCTTTTTGGTTTGTTGCCGGGTCTCCAAGGGCCACTTGATCCCTTTTGGAAAGAACCTACTGTTTTCAGAAGCTCAGCAAGATGTGTGAATTCACTGGTTACATGTTAGAGAATATTTGGCAATGGGATTAACACATCACGGTGACACAAACTGAAACAGTCCCAATAATGCTCCTCTTGAATATCAAAATAACTTAAATATTTTATCCTCAAAATGAGGCGGCATCTTCTGCAAAATTCTAAGTGATCCTTATAAAAGTCCCATATTTGATAAGGCTTATCCAGAGACACACCTGAAAGAAAAGGCTTTTACAAGATATTAACACATTTTTGGCATAGAAATATTTCCTTCTCTCCATCTAGCCTGCTCATAATCAAGCCAAGCTTACCTACAGCTAAGCATTACACGTTGCATTATCTCAATAAACGATCTAGTCTAAACTAGACAGCACTTTAAGAGCTTTTTTTCTGCAAAAGCAAAGATCCCCATTTTCCTCTTGAAAAATGACAGACCGGGGAACCATGTGAAATCCTCAATGAAGCCACAAACGTGTCCATGCAGCTTGATTTGAGGATTTTCTCTCTTCTTTATCGCAGGGAAAGCTTTGACGAATCATATTCCTCCATCACGTTATTCTGACACATGTGCCTATTATCAGTCCAAAGAATGTTTCTAACCTTCCCACGTCCCGAACAGGGTCTCGACGGGATGGGCGTCCTCTTGATCGGGGTTGTGAGTGCATTCTTCTCTTGTGCCTCATTTTATGAATGACTTGATACAAGTCAATACTTTCATCAGGAGGGAAGAGAAGACAAAGTTGGGTTCCGCATTCCGGCTCTATTTCCTAGAATTAGTTAGAAGTTCAGTAGCAGTTTACAAACTGAAGAAATTAAACTCTCCCCAAACACATCAAAAACACATATTTAAAAGAAATGGTCACTTCTAAGAGCTTTCAGTATCACCAGAGACAGAGCAGAATTCACTTACGTTACCTTTCACTCTTTAGGCACTACTTAGAATTTTCATAAAACAGTCCAACACTTGGGGCAACCATATCTTCCCATGATACATCACTGTTTTGCTACAAAATCAGAGGATTGTTTCTCACCACAAAGAAAATGATCACCTATTACAGAGAGAAAAGCAACACACGTAGGAAAAAAAAAAAATCCATCCCAGCTTCACATATAAAGCCATGGCCTGATGAAGTTCACTACTACCACTGAAAAGGGAGGTCTTCAATGTATCCCAGACAGGTCCGTAAAAATACCAGCTGAACAGCCAATAGCAGTCAAATCAAGCAAATAGTGCTCAGGATTGTCATGAAATGAACACAAAATGAGAAGGTCATTATAACACACTGAAAGTCCATGTTCCGCCCACACCTTAAATACTGGGTGCAATTCTGATGGCTGCATCTCAAAAAATAGGGAGAAAGTAGGAATGGAAACGTTTCGAGGCAGGGCACCAGGGATAAGCGAGTGAGCACACAACTCCTACATGCAATGACTGAGCAAGTCGAGCCTCTCCAGCCTAGAATAAAAGAGGAATATGTGGGGCTTTGGGGACAAGACAGACACAATAGCAACATCCGACACCATCGGTTGTTTGGAGGAGAAAGGAACAGAGATCAACCTGTCAACTCCCTCTTCTGGTACAAGAACTTGGGGCCATCAAAAGAAGCTACCAGGAGCCAGCAGCTAAACAATCCCAAAAACTGCTTCTTCAAGCTGGTGACTAAGTAGGCCTGCGGAACATCTTCCTGAAGGATGTCCTAAATGCAAGCAGCTCAGTGTACACGTCCTCAGAAGAGATCCATTCAGGGTTATACAAAATCTAAGTGGATGACAACCACTTCAGGAAATAACGCGAGGTGAAAAGCAGGGAGAGCAAGCAACAGACAACGTGTGGCCAGTACCTAACTGTGCAGCAATGTTATGAAAAAATTATGAAACCCATGTCCAGATTGCAACTCTACACTGAAGTGGGACATTACTTTTTTTTTTAAAAAAAGTTCACATTAAATTAAAAATAAGACTAAAAATGTTGGTTTATTTCTGCTACTCAAACAAAGTGAATGTGTCTATGGACAAAATAACGCAGAGTCTACGCTTCCCGTACAGTATGGGAATTCTGCAACTCTCATCTTGCCTTAAGAAAGCAGAACTCATTATTTAAGTCAGGCTGGGTTACCTGATGACAGCAGCTGCACTCCGGTATGTGTGACAAGACAAAGAGCCATCCCACTTAAAATTTACTTAGTGTCTATTTTGTAGTGTAGAGTCTACGCCCTAAGCAATACAGTATATAAAAAATGCAATGCTCGACACAGCTGGAAACACCAGAACTTGCTCTTAAAAGCTGGCGCTATATAGGTTTGCACAGCATTCAAGGTACAGTACATTTCCAAACCAAAACATCACGCAGCTTTAAAGCATCAAATACTGTTTATCACAAAGATGACAAGAGAATTGGCACCATACAGTTTTCAGTTTCCTTCTTCTGCAGTAACATTAGAAATAAGCTGAGTGCCTTTGTAACAGTGCTCTACTGCAAGTAACAACTGATCTAAAGAGGTACCATATCTTTCGTACACAAAAAGCTGAAAGCAAGCATTAGAAGATGTGCACTATAGAAAAAAAAAAAACAACTTAGAATTAACAAACCTGTCCATCGCGTCCAATCTTTACCGGCTTATGTTCGTTCCAAGGATTGGTCAGGTGAGCAGACTTGGTGAACGGCAATTCACGCCTAAATATGCAAGTGGCATCATTTGTAGTTTTGTCTCCATTTTTCATTAAAAAAATATATGTAAGAACACATAGAGCAGGACGCTACATAAAAAATAATCCTGTTACCCTTTCCACTGTCATGTCTCTGAATGAATCTATTTGTAGATATTAAGCATTAGTAACTGAAGATTTCGCTTAAACATTCCAGTATTAACCAGTATAGCCCATACTATGACAGCCGGTCTTATTAAAGACATTGGTTTTGGTACAATATCAAGATCGTGCTTGCCTACTATCTTGCCATGTAAACACACTGACCTATGCAAGATGGTAGCTCATGGTACCTACTGAAATCGCCAACATCTGACCTAAATATGAAGCTAGAACCACTCTGAGCTGGAGGTGGGAGTCAGTAACTTCCAGAGGACCTTTGCAACCTAGATTTTTCTCTAGTTCGAGGTCTCACCTTTCCTGCATTTAGTCTTTCCGGTAGCCCAAAGGACTTGTGCAACCATGAAATGTATCTCACAGGATATAGCTCTTTTTCTTGAGAGGGGTTTAAAACCCTTTTCTGCAAGACACATTCAGTTAAGTCCGTGAACATACTGCTCAAAATCTATCTATTTTGCAAAGCACTTGTACTATTTCATATGTTATTTCAGAGCAGCAGCATTTCCTTTGTTCAGTCAGATGGCAAGATGTTAGAAGAAGACAGATTTGTCCTTACAGATTTTTTTTCCCCTTTTATCCACAGCTGTCTATTCAGGTGAGCGTTTCTTTTTACTCAAAGACTTCAGAACACAGTTTTCTGGTTTCAGTGCAAGAGACTGGTGGAGGAACACAACCAGGTGTTAAAAAAAAAAATCTCTAAATTAGTTGTCTACATAAAAAAAAACAACAACCCCAAAACAACAAACCCTATTGTGCATGTCAGGTACTGAT